TTTGCTGGCATGGAGCCCTGGCTGGTGCAGACAGATGGTTTCAGAAGAGCCTCTGTCGTGTGTCCGTGAACACAGTGCTTCTCCTTCTCAGCCTGTAGCTGATGTCTCTTCTCCCCGTTTGGTCATGCGATTTCCCCCAACTGCTTCCAGGTTAGGATACCTCATTACCGCCCCCCCCCCCCCAGGCCTCATCTTCCTGTGGTCAGCGCCTGCCTGGGCCATTCTTCCATCTGCTCCTGTCATCTGTTCCTCCCTTCAGGTTGCCTTCTCCCCACACCTTCAGTCCTTCAGCTCCCTCCCACAGCCTCCAAGCCTCTTTCTTCCCTGTGCCTACAGGGCTGCGTGGCAGTGAGCGGGCAGCAGGGAGGCAGGCTCCCACCCTCTGACTGTTGCTGTCCACAATGGCAAGGTAGTGGCCTGTCTTGATGCCCTCCTGTCTGCTGTGCTAGACCCACACCTGCCTGGCTTTGTGTAGCTTTGGAAAAACAGATTGACATCTGGTCCCAGCTGGTAAGTAAATGTCAGCTCTGCTGGGCTCCTGCTCCCCGGCAAAGCCTGCTTTGGCTTGGAAGGCAGGGCTCCATTGTTGCTTTTGGTGATTAATAACTTTCACTCACAGAGGAAACAGTGTGACTCCTTGTGTGGTCTCTGTCAGTTACAGCTCATGTTATGGAAAGCCTCCTTCCAGGTCCCTGAGATTAAATGTTAGAGAAAGTGTTGGTCTAGTTATCTTTTGCTACTTTTACTTCTTTTGCAGACAAATCTCTTTTCCTGAGCTGACCTTTGTAGCCATTCATTAAGATTTGTAAAATGGGACCTGTGCCCTACCTAATCTTTGTTCCTTTATTAATCATATAATGAAGTCATCAGGGTCAAGTGCCCAGTCATCAGACTTAATGCTTCTTGTGCATTCACATAGGTGCTCTTCTGTGTGGTAAGAACAATAACAAAAAAAGGAACAAGGGAAGCTCCTGCCTTCATGGGCCTGGCGGGCTGGGCCAGCCAGGAGGAGGCCAAGCAGCGTCCCTGTGGTGGGAGCCTGGGAGACACAGCAGGGTGAGGAGGATGAGGCAGTTGGTTCTCTGTGGCCAGGCCGGAGGGGGCCCTGGGAAAGGTGAGGGAGGAGTGGGTGACATGTTCTGAGCCACTGAGAGATCTGAACACCCAACTCTGAGCAGGGCAGGAGTGGGGCTGAGAGGAAATCAGGCTGCGGAGCAAACTCTGGGGCCTTGGGGGAGGAATCAGCATATGCTACCAGTAATTTTCCTTATCTTTAAGGTCCTTCTTCTATTCTTGTTTTCTCAGTGGCCGGCTGCGCCCAGCCTCACTCCCCCGTTGTGGTCTAAATGATTCTCCTTTCCTCCCGATTCTAACTCGTTTAACTGACAAACCTTGGTCATAATTGCTGTGCTGAAGTTGAGCATATAGCAGTCTTACTCTCTGGCCCTTCAAATATGTTACCTATTATTTTACCACTATTCAGTTATCAAGCTATCATTCTGATATCCTCTTTCCTTCTCTGTTAGTTTCTGTCTCTTTAACATTTAAATAGATTGTCAGTTTGCCCACTGTCTTCATTCAGCAAACACTGTGCCAAGTAGCCTTGCAGCATGGGCGACATCACAGAGCAGGGCTACAGCCCTGCCCTCAGGGAGCTCACACTTTACTAGGGAGAGAGATAACAGGTGAAATAAGAGATGACGGTGAAGAGGAAATGATGACTGGCGCAAGGGTGGGTAAAGCAGGGTGAAAAGCGTAGTGTTGATTCAGAGGCAGCAGTGGAGAGGGGAGAAAGAGAGGCTAGGCAGCCAGAATAAAGACTCAGAGCAGGAGCCAGCCCGGTGACCCCAGAGGCAGGGCCACAGCAGGCAGGGAGTAGAAGCAGGCCCGGTGTGCAGCCTGCTACTTCTGCTCCTGGGAAAGGTGCGGGTCTGCCGAAAGGGGTGGGGGGGGGAGTGGAGATAGGTACTCAGTCCCTGCGGTCTGAGAGGGGAAGAGGAGAAAGGGTGACTCTGGTTTGTCTTGGGTAGGCATTCCTGACAGGGTGGGGTACAGGGAAGTGGAGCTTTCCTGGAAGCTTCTATCCCAGCAAAACCAAGGTGACAGCATAGAGGGGCAGGCAGCCTGGGCCTGGTCTTTGGAGCTCTCTGCATGCTGGCAAGCGCAGGATGGCCTTGGTGGCACTTGGAGAGCGGAGAGTGCTGCCCTGAGCCCAGGGCTGGGCAAGGTGCCTGGGATGTGAGGGGTGGCACCAGAGCCTGCAGGGGATGGCAGCAGAGCCTGGAGCCTTGCTCTCAGTGCTGTGAAGTTACTTCTAGAAAGAAAATTAGGGTAGTGTTTTATAAGTTGGGCTTTTGCTTTAATCAGTCTGATTTCATTTGTCATCCTTGTTGGGTGCACTGTTTCTACTGTCAGTGAAGTCCCCATGCCTCTGAAAATGCAGCTCTTTTTCTGTTATTACAACTATGTGCCATCATCATTGCATAGTACAGATGTCCCCAAGGTAGGGGTTTGTTGTTGTTAGTTTTGTTTTTATTTTTGTATTTACTTTGCAGTAGTGCAAACATTCCACACATTGAGTAGAAAGCACAGTTCACATTTTAAGTTCCATGTCCTCCAGACAGCTCCTCCCTCTCCAGAGGAAGAACAGCACCCACAGTGCTGTGTGTGAAGTCTGGGGTGTGGCAGGGTAGGCAAGTCAGGTTTTAGTGGGGCCTAATGCCATCATAAGTCCAGGAGTAGCTGTGTTGAGAAGGTATAGAAATAAGTAATTATAACCATATTTTAAAACATTTGGGGGCTCATTTGGGCTCGCAGAGATAACTATGGTTCATTCAGGGATCAGAAAGCTCTTTCTGTAGAGGGTCACACAGGAAATATTTTCAGCTTTGTGAGAGATGCACCCTAAGTAGGAAGTATTCGACTCTGCGGCAGTAGCTTGAGAACAACTGTATAAACATGTGCAGGGTTGGATGCAGCCTTGTTCCCCAACATGGAGCCATGGCTTTTCCTAACTATTACACAGCCAGTGCCTAGTCCATTCACTGGGGGAAACAATAACCCTTTCAATCATCGGTGCAGGCACAACTGGATACCTCACAAGCAAATAATGAAGGTGGGCCCAACGGTGCACAAAAATTAACTCAGACTGGATCACAGAAGTAAATGCAAGAGACAAGAACTGTAAAACTCACAGAAGAAAACATAGGAGCAAATCTTCATGATCTTGGTTTAAGTGGAGTTCCAAATACGACATTGAAACCAGAAGCACTGAAATAAAAATTGAAAAATTGTACTTGTTTGTCTACATTGGCCACCCTTAAGAAAATGGAAAACAATCCTCATGATGGGAAGAAAAGTTGGAATCATGTATCAGATAGGGGGGCAGTATCCAAAATATAAAGAGAGAATTTTGAAACTCAGTAATGAAAAGACAAATAGTTCAATTTAAGGAAAAGGATTAAAATCCACAGATGGCCAGTGAGCACATGAAAAGATGCTCAGTATCATTACTCATCAGGAAATACACAGGGAAACCACGAGACAAAAGGCAGACCACAGTTAGTGCTGGGTCGGATGTGGGGAAACGAGAACCCTGCGAGTTTGCCGGGGAGAATGTGCCATGGTGTGGCCACCGAGGCAGGCAGTCTGGCAGGCCTCAGACAGTGCTGCCATCGGCTCAGAGGCTCTGCTCCTCAGCGTGAGTCCGAGAGAAATGAAAAGAGTGAGTAAGAGGAGCCAGTCACAAAAGCAACATGCTCCGTGTTCTGTTTCTGTGAAATGTCCTCAGTAGGTAAAGTGAACATCTGTGGCTGTCTGGCTTGGAGTGCAAGTTGGGGCTGAAGAGTGAGTGCTGGTGAGGAGAGTTTCTTTTGGGCTGAGGAGAGTATTTTGGAGTTAGATGGTAATGATGATTATATAATGCTGTGAATATATTAAAACCACAGGATCATAAGCTTTAAAGTGGTGAATTTTATGGTATGTGAATAAATCTAAATAAGCTATTATTTAAAAAGAAAAAGTGACCCCATGTTTGCCTGTGTGGCTTTGAAAGGTTGTACGTAAAACATACTCTCTTTTTACCTCAATAAAAATTGAGGGCTGTTACCTGAGCCTTACCCAAGCTGTGATGACAAGGGCTGCTTGGTGGCTCCGTGGTGAGCAGCCGTCCAGGTCCTGGTACTGTGGATAAGCTGCAGCCTCTTCTCAGCTGAAATTTGGGACCAGAAAGTGACTAAGGCCAGCAGCCTCACCCTATGAGAGGCTTTCCCTTCTGAAGCCTGAGATAATCATGCACCATGGATACATCAGCGTCACAAGGTTTCAGGCTTGTTATTTTAGAGGACTTCACATTACTTTAATTTGTTGAGTGTGAGTAGAGATGATTTAAGGAAAATGTACATCGGCCCCATCTGCTTTCTAAACACTATCTTATAGCTCAGCAGTGTATTGAATTGTTGCTCAATGCCCCCTTAGAAGTTAGTCAGTTCATTCATACCGTAGCAACTTGCCATATGCACTGTCTTATAAAAAGATGTATAGACCTGTAGTATGCTGCAGTCATTCTGTCTTAATTTAAAAATGGAGAGCGAAACAGTCCTTTCATGTGGCAGCCGTATTCTAAAGCATGTATTCTCAATCTTCTCTGTGTACAAAAATCAATCGGGACTTGCAAGAATGTGAGTCTCCTAGGCCTGCACCTCCAATTATTCAGGCGGTGCGTGGCCTGTGATAGTCAGTACCCCAGGGGTTCAGCTTGGAAAGAGTAGATAACCTAAGGGTGTTCTTTACAATAGGTAATGAGTGGGTATTATAGTATTTTCCAGCCATTTGATGTCAGAAATAGATGATGGCCCACTCTTACTCTGCTGTTAGGAAATAGGACTGTTTTTGCATGAATGCATTGTGGCACAGTGCATGAATCTTAGTATTTCCCAGCCCTGCCAGCGTCTGAAACTGTTGCCTGTGAATGCAGCCCTGTCTCTACCCTCTACTTGCAGATTTCCTTTGACTTGGCCGAGTACACTGCAGATGTTGATGGCGTAGGAACTCTGCGGCTTCTGGATGCAGTGAAGACCTGTGGCCTTACCAACTCTGTGAAGTTCTACCAGGCTTCCACAAGTGAACTTTATGGGAAGGTGCAAGAGATTCCCCAGAAGGAGACCACCCCTTTCTATCCGCGGTCACCCTATGGTGAGAAGCCATGTGGGGCATGCTGTGTGTGTTGGGGCGGGGGTGCTTTTGTTCTGTTTGGTACCCGTCTGCTGGCTGAAGTCATTTGGGTGTGAGAGCAGCACGAGGGTGGACTAGTGGGACTGGACTTGCTGAGAAGCATACCTTTACACCTTGCTAACTCCAGGTGTATGCTGGCATTGCCCTGGGTTGAGATTACCACTCACTCCACCAGCTGTGTGTGCGTTCAACCCTTCCATCCAGATCACTTGACGAGGAAAATCAGACCCAACGTGATTCTTGCTGAACTGTTCGGAGACTGTGCTGAAGTGATAAGGGTTCATGGTTTTTATTTCCCCATGAAAGTTTCCCTGAGCTCAAACCCTTAAAAAAAGAAAGAAAAAGTTGGTACATCTAGTATGTTTGTAAAGAAAATATTCATGAAAGACTTCAGTGGTAAAATTTCAAAGCAACTCAGATGTTAAAATTCCCAATTTTTTCCCCTAATTCTTTAGAACTAAAAAAAAAAAAAAAGACTACAAGAGCTAAGAAAAGTGAACTTGCATGCAGCACAAATTACACAGTAAAAGAACAAACTATGGATATAATAAAAGTAGAAAATTATTAAGTATTTCCTATAAGCATCAGTAAGGCACAGGAATTTTTATTTTGTTTGAACTTCTAATTCACATTTCTTGTTATTTTGCTACATTACATGTTATAAATTTTGAAATTATTCCAACAGGGGCAGCGAAACTCTATGCCTATTGGATTGTGGTGAATTTCCGGGAGGCATATAACCTTTTTGCAGTGAACGGCATTCTTTTCAATCATGAGAGTCCCAGAAGAGGTTAGTAAATACACTAATTGAAAAGAGAACTTTAGTTTTGAACAACAAAAAGTTGTAGGTATCTTCTGCATATGTTCTATCATCTGAAAACTTTTACCTTTGTTGTGCACTATCACAAATGTCAGATGTTCTAAATGAAGAAATGTAAATCTGGCCTTAATTGCTTACCAAGTTTATGGGGTTTTGAAAAATTTATTATGAAAAACTGTGCATATTTGTTTGTGTTTATTAGTAGATCTTACTAAGCGTGCTTTCCACGTAAGTATTAGGAAGTTTCCATATAAACACAAAGAAGAAGTAAAATAATGGTTGTTTCTAGAAGTTGCTTCTATTCATGTGAACTCAGATAATTGCATATTCAGTATTTTTGTTTACATTCCATTAAACAGACCCTCATGGTTATTATGCTTCTCAAGTGTATTTCAAAGTAAGTTTGAAATCATCCTTTATCATGAGAGGCATTATCAATTTTTATAGGCCTTATTTGTTTGTGTTGGCTTGTTGCTCTCTCATAATTGTTACTAAGACTATTGACAACATGCTAGCATTTTCATAAGAAACTGTGTGCCCCTGCCATTACTTGTGACTTCATGATGCATAGGAAATCTTAGCTAAGCATATGTACTTTCAACAAAGTAAAAATTATCTATATAATCTGATTCCAAAAATTTTTATTAAATTTCACTATCATTTAGTCTTTTAGTATGAACATAAATGAGAAGGCCAGTATTATAAGTTGTTTCATGCCCAACAACTGGTATAATTATAATTTTGCAGTGAAATTTTACTTGACTGTATAGCCACCTAATTAAACCAACAAGCCAGAAGAAAGATTAAAGTGACAGGTTTATAAAGGTATCTTTAGCGTCAGTGCATTTTTATTTCATAATTGCTCAAGGTAAAAATTCCCATGATGGACTATTAAAGCAGAAGACGCAAGCCTGTCATTTCTGTTTCCCAAGTCACCAGAAACATTTCTTTAATTAATTTTGTGGTTTGGGTATGCTCCTGAGGAGAGGAAGGAAGTTAAATATTGTGACTAGGAAAGGGTATAGTATTCGTAGGTTGTAGAGTTAAATGTTGAATTTTAAATATAGTACCCCTCAATCCTCTGTACTTCACAATGAGAACAATCTTTCTTTTTTTAATTAATTGCATTTATATTTACATAAAACAGAGAATCAGGTTATGTCGTGTACATGTTCAAACTCCATATGATGAATGTGATCAGTCTTTGTTTTTTACAAAAACTTTAAACAGGAATTCTGCTTTGTTATAAAAGAAAATTAAAGGAGGCAAATAAAACAAGGAAACATTCCTTGCTCCATACCCCTTCCAGCCCTATCTGCAGACTCAGGGATGCTTTCCTTCAGAAAGGCGGCCTGCAGGAGTCATCCTGCTGTGCAGCTTCTGCGAGGTGTCACCTGCTTGACTTGCAGTGTGCATCCTTTTCATTGCTTTTATTACCAGAGGTCTCTCATTGGTCTAGAAACTAGTGGTGTTCAATTTTTTACTCCATTTACATAAGCAGTGTAAAAATGCAGAAGTATATATGAAAATGAGGTTAGTGCTTGAACAAACTACAGTATCTAGGGCCTAATACCATGTTTTTAGAAACTTCAAAATTAATTTTCATAATCTGACAATTACATTGTTCTTAAAGATCAATTGTTTTCTGAGATGTCTTTGCCGTAATGAATCTCTTGCTGGTAGGACTGTGTTTCATTCTTAAAACTGCAGCTGCTAAAGAAGTGCCTCTCTGCTTCAATAAACATTTTTAAATGAATGAATGAATGAGTATCTTATGTTTCAGTTAAACATTCCTAACCTGAAAGCTAGATCATTGGAATTAGAGAACAGTAGAAATTTATAGGATAGTTTTAAATATATATTGTTTTACTGATTTCTCACCAATAGCAATTATAGCCAACAAACTATTGGAAAGTAGTGACTCAATCTGATAAGCTTTGATGAACAGATAGAGTTATTGTTTAGTAAGCTTGTGTGTCCATAGCTCACTGTGGCACAGGGAGTTTGTTTCCATAAACTGGTTGGCTGTGTATCTGTAAATGTTCATGCCCTATCATGAGAGGCATAAATACTCCTTTATTATGGATGGAGCAGCAATAAGCCTCCACCTGCCTAGCATGCTGTCACAAAGGCCTGAGTAATTGAGCCCATGCTGTACAGATTTAGGGGTTCAGGAACTTTTTCTCAAATGCAAAATGATTGACAAAGTACACTTGGTTATATGAATAGCGTTTCATGGGAATTTTTGACTTTGAAAAGTGTGGAAGAAGTATCTGAATATGAGTATATTGTAGACCAGAAGTTGGCCAACCATGGCCAGATATAGCATATCAGTCTATTTATTGATTGATTGGTTGATTGAGTGAGTGTAAATAAAGTTTCATTGGAGTACAGCTAGGCTCCTTGTTTACATATTGTCTCTTGCCTTTCCCACTGTAGACTCCTTGTTGCCTGAAAAGCCTGGAATATTTACTGTTTGGTCTTTGAGAAAACATGCTGTGGCCTCAGCTGTAGACAGTTCAGTTGGGTTTACAGTGGGTTTCTCAGGAGGTAACAAGGTAGTCTGTCAGAAGGATGTCCAGGAAAAGTTGAAGTCAGAGAGTCAGTAATGACCAAGCCTTGTGCCAAATTCTGGAAGTACTTTGGTCACTTGGGGTTTTGTTGTCTTGAAGGGCTGTACTGCAGCGCCCAAGTGCTCTACAAGGAAGTGAACAGTCTGCGTGGTTGGACCTGAACATGCCACCAGCATAGCTCATCACAGCAACCCCACCTCCTGAGTTGATCTTTCCTAATTATGTGTTCACTGTCTTTTGTGTCTTGTCCATTCCAATCCTTTATGATTTTCTTTTTTAAAAAAAGATTATTTAGATTTTTTGTCAAATATACTGCATTGTCTTCAGATCTTTATACCACATGTAGAGGTAACTGCACTCACCTGTGGTTGCAGGCAGTCTGCAGTCAGAAATGATTGACTTAGGGAAGAGCCATGATTCAGCGCCAGGGCCTGCAAAGTGTGCTGTTCAGAGCATCTGGCTTTAGGTTTGCTTTCTGTAAAATGGGGCATAGTCGTAAGATTTGCAAACATAATTTTAGAACAGTATGTCCAGAAGGCACGAAAATATGTACATTAGCATGTTTTGTGAATAACTGTATCATTTTGCGTTATATATTGATATTCACCAAGTTTAACAAGCTCTTTTTTAAACATTCAGATTTTTAAAATAAAAGTATATATATTCATTATTAATGAGATGAGTAAATGCTTTATTTCATGCATAAATTGCACAAAACTACTCATGTATCTGAAAAAGCTATTTTCTGTCATATTGTTTCTCTAAATATGCAGTGCTATTATCTTCTATCCAGCTGTGTCTGGAGATACATATATATGTATCATTTCTATATTTATACATAAATATTGTGTTCTATTTGTGACATATTTTTACCGGAAAAGTTGATTTATATTTACATATTCTCTATTTAGGAGGCTTGGCTTATTATCTAGAACTATTTAATTTCTGCAAGGAAATTGACATACAATTTTTTACCCTTGTTATTAAATTTCTTGAAAAGCTAAATAGCTAGTAAGATCATTATGTCATAAAGATGTTAATTATATAAGTTAAACCATGGAAAAATCTGAAAAGATTTTTAATTATTTTAAAATAACTTGTAAGTAAGGATATTTGAATTTTTGAACATACTGTTTACCAGTAGTAAAATTTGCTCATATAAATATAACACTATTCTACAAATCAAGGCCTTATAAACAAGGCTATTTAGTAAATCTAACAATATTATTTCAGTTGCGCTTATCACTTTAGGAAGTAAAATAACAAAACTGTCCATTAATTGTCACCTGGACAATGTAATCAGTTTGCTAACTGTGTCTTAATTCTTAACCTCTTGACAGAGTGCTTTGGCCCATCATTAATACAAACTTGGTGACCTTTAAAGATTATATGTAACATTAATAAAAGTGTATTCCAAACACATTTTGTATGATGATCAAGGGAAAATGACAATAAAAATAAGAGATATACCTTACCTTCTAGTTTCAGAAGATTTAAAAAAATTAAGTTAAAGTTGATTTCCTGACTTCAGTGACTAAAATCACCATGACCAAAGAGTGATATAGCTGCCCGTGAGCATTCCTGGATTTTTTGCCTGGATTTCGAGTGTGATTTTTCAGTTTTCAGTGTGAGTGTGGAATTGGTGGGTTGGCGACTGCAGCTAAAGAGTGACTGAGGCATCTACAGGACTCTCCAGGCCCTCATCTTAGAGAAGAGGGCCTGGCCAGGTAGATGGCAGGTGAGTTTGCTGCCGCGCCATGTGGGTGGAGCGGGCCCCACTCTGAAGACACTGGCTTTATAGAGGAAGTCAGTTTGGATTTCCAGTCACTCAATGAGTACATTTTTCTTATGTTGACTCATCTTAGGCTTTTGATCCTTAGGGAAGTCTGGCAGTATGCTGATTGCTGCTTCCAGGTTGACTGAGGAGACAACATTGGCTAAGTGGGCCTTCCTCTCAGGCCTTTGATTTACCCGCGTGAGTCACATGCAGAGGTTGGTTTCATTTGGATGTCTCTTGCCTGAGTAAGAAGTCACACTCCGTGTTGATGGTGTGCTTCTTCCACTCTCCTTCTACTGTCTCTTCTAAGTGTCTGCAAAGGGGCCACTTTGGGCTGAAGATACAGTGTGGAGGGAGAGAGAATTTGTGTGGCATTTGCTGGGGTCAAGTGCAGTACTGTACAAAAGAGGAAGGATCTTTGCCCAGCTCTGGGTAAAGGAGTTTTTCCTCTCTGTGGACTTCCTTCTGTTTCTCCCTCCTGCATGCCTGACCCCTCGCCCAGGTCATCTCCACATGCCAGCGTAGCTGTGCTGTGGGGTCGTGGGCCTTAGGGAAGGACCCCAGGAGTATGCAGTCCTCCTGGAGCTCCTCCACTCTGCCTCCCCGGGAACTCTGACATC